GCTGTTTTACATGATTGTTGAATGAAATTAACATAATTATTAATTTATTGTAAAAACATGACAGATAATGTGTGAAACAGATCCAGTTCAGCTGCTRTTTATCTGTTAGTTTCTGTCCTGTTTGGTCTGTTTCTGCTCCTCCTGATGTCACAGACGATGGGCGGGGCTTAGTCTAGTGATCTTTATATTTAAGTCTATGGTCTGCAGTTAAAGAATCACATCTTTTTCTTTTTAGCACAAATGGAAACCGTGCCATGCTCACGTCACAGTTTCCTCGTGTCGCGAAACATCAGACCATTTTAACCTATAATCCATTGTTTAAGCAGATACGATTCCTTCAAATGGAGCACATTTTGTTACATAGATRATTCATCAAGTAACAGTTAGGAACTTGATTTAAAAAAACATGAACTTGTTGCCAGTAAGGTCCAGGTTGCTTCTTCTTCACTGCACACCTCAGCTTTGTTTGTACCGAACCTGTTCGGGAACAACCTGAACAACTTGTTTCGTGCTAATCGCTAAATTCCGTGTTGAAATTTGACAAAAGAGCAGCATTCTATAAGTCTTTGCTCAGTTTTAAATTAAACCTTCTTGTAAGCAGAGATTGGATCTGTTGACAAAAAGTCTTTAAATTATTATTTTTAGTTTCTGTAAAGATAAAATGTTGAATGTATGCAGAGCGTCAGCTCCCAGAAACAAGGCTAATTTGTATTTTGTGCTGATTCCAAGCAGTGCTCCCATTCCTCACTGTGGCGGATGGATCTTTTTAAGTGCTTTGTGTTTGCAACACAAGGGCTGAGGAGGAGAGGGGTGATCTGAGGTGAAATGTAAACAAGGCTAGTCAAAAAGAGTTATTGTCCAGCCAGCAACGTGGCTTTGCAGCCATACTTAATACTTGTGCAACAATGGCGGTTTGTATTTCCTCTGCACCAGGATTTAAAAGGTTTTCTGGGTAACTATTTGTGTACACATTTTAGGGACTTTTATTTTGATAATGAACTTGAGCTCATTTTGTTGTTCGTTGAGGTTTAAAGCTTACTCGTTCGGACACATCTCTATTTTTATTTAAAAATCAGGAAACCAAATTTAATACATAGCTTCTAAAGGTTTCCAAATACGAAGTTGCTACTTAAAACGTGTTTTTTTATTTTTATTTCCTAGAAAAATATGTTACTGGTTGCATTTTCATTTCGTTTTTTGTGTTCTTTCAGGTCAGTTTAAACTGAAAATGAGTGCAGTAGGGGAAAGCCCCCTGGACCCTGCCACGCCAGAGTCACGCAAGAGGAAGTGCTCACCATGCGACACGTCGGGGCAAAGGTAAACATCCAGTCGTGTCGTTTTCTACAGAACAAACAAACATTACGTCAGCCGAGCAAGGAACACAAACATGTTAACAACTGACGGGTACACCATTAATCAAAAACACACAGTTTAAACTCTTCTTCAAAGAAAGAAGAGTCGCACATTTATAGTTTTATTCAGTTGGTAGAGACGCTTTCATGAAAGAGCACGACATTTACAGAAACTAAAACAATAAGTTGGATTTACAAAAAGTACAGGCTTCCCATATGATGAATGTTATAAATAATGTTTGAGTCGTAAAGATGTTGACGTTTTAACTGAAGGTTGAGAACAAAGTTTGGCTACATTACAGAAAAATTTACAGAGAAGTGTCCAAACTTTCTGATTCGTGAGCCAAAACGATCCAGTTGAAAGAACTTGCAGGTCACCTAATAGTTCAAGTTTCAAGTTTATTTATATAGCGCCAAGTCACAACATATGTTGTCTCAGGGCAATGCTGGTTTCTTCTTCAGATTGTTCTTTTTATATACAGTGCCCCGAGACAACGTATGTTGTCTCGGGGCACTGTATATAAAAAGAACAATCTGAAGAAGAAAGCAGCAGATTGTGTTGAATCACTTCATCACAGTCTCCATCCTGAGCAAACAGTGGAGAGGARAAACTCCCTGCTAAACAGGAAGAAACCTCCAGCAGCACCAGGCTCAGGACAGGAGGCCATCTGCCTCGACCGGCTGSTTGGAGGACAGGAAAGAGACACAGACAAACTAATAGGAATTGTTTATTTTTAAAATGTTTGAATACTTAACTTTTATGTATAGATATTTATATTTTAAGCTCTTAAATCTCAAATGTAATATTTGTTGAAAGAACAAAGATATATCTATTTTGGTTCAAAAGAAGTTTTGATCCAAAAGATACAAAGGGCTGGGATGTGGGATAAAAAAATACAAGAATATTTCTAAACATGAATTCAGTTATCCATTTATCCATCCAAATATTTTCTGGCTCTTTACTCGTTTTGTTTTAGTGGTAGAGTCAGTAAAATAGTTCTTGTTGATGTTTCGGGCCTTTGTTTTTCGCTGATCTGATAAACAAGGCAAACGTGTTAAACTAGATCATGTCTTTAACCTTAGACTCTGCTCTTGTGACAGTGTTTGTGCTCTGATATTCAGGCTTTAGCTCAAAGCCAAGCTGAGCAGAGAACAGTGGAGCTGCTGTTAAAAAAGCCTCCTGATTTAGCTTGTAGTAAAGACAGTCGGTGCAGGTCCGCAGGGTGGCAGATGATTCCAAAATATGTGATCTGTGAATATTTAAGGCTAAAAAAAGCTCAATGCTAACCCATTCTGAGCAGCCACACAGACACGCTATTGCCAAGATAGATGTGTTGACACTAAATTTAGTTTTTCCTCTGATCTCTTTATCTACTTTCCCCTCAAGAAACGTTTACCTTCAAGAAACGTTTACAAGACAAACCTCATCAGAGTTGCAGTGGTTTGTAAAAGGTCTTAACCTGCGTTTTGTCATCGTCTCAAACCCATCCAACCAACCGATCCACTTGGTGAGTGGAGAAAATGTTGGACAGTTGCAAAGAGTTGTTGCAGTTGGGTTTAGTTTTAACTTTTATTTAAAATTCTTTAACTTATTTCTAGACTTTTTTTATTATTTATATAAAAAACTGATAGTAGGATGACGTTTTCAGTATTTAGAGCATCAGAAAATGTTTTATGGGGGAGGTGTTTTAAAGTCATTAAGTAACTGCATTGCATGCAGTTTGTCGTTTCACTGATAATACAGCAGCTGTGTCTAGTTGCACTATTTTTAAATAAAATTACACTGTTGAGTAGAAACTATGTATTACATGTTTTTTTTCTTTTTACACTGAACTCAGAGCAGAAAGACATCATTTCTGTATTTGTTCATTTATCACAACACTTATGATTATAAGCTTGCACWTCACAGGTTTTCCTGATATTGTGCAGTCCTGTAACTTTATCTACCTTTTTTCTAATTTGCTTAAATACTTAATTACTAACTTTTATCATTTACTAACCTGCTTAATTACCCACTAACTAGGTTGTTCATGTACTTGCTTGCCTGTTTACCTTTTTAATATCTGATTTGCATATTTACTAACTCAGTTATTATTATTTAATAATTTATTTATTTACTAACTTGCTTAATTGTTTAATTCCTTAATTATTAAGTTAATCATATACTAATTTGCTTATTTACTTATTTACTAACTCAGTTATTATTATTTAATAATTTATTTATTTACTAACTTGCT